GTAGGAGAAATCAAATCTTGGGGCAGAATACAGGTACAGAAACCAAGAGGACTCAGCAAGTACTTAGCATTGAGTAGAAGATTACATGCTTTGAGAATTAACATTAAGCCCCCATTCCAAGCTTTAACAACAGAGGTGGAATGATAGAAAACAGGAAGACTGAGGAAGAAAAAGTTAATACAGGCCAGTCCAAAACCAGAGCAAGACCCCACAGAACCCTGAGGGCCAGGGAAACCCCTGTGTGCACGGTTTGTGTCCACCAAAGCTGGAGCAGCATTTTCCCAACCTTCTGACTCAGGGAACCTTGATCACTTAGGTTATCTCACACATATTCTGAGAAAATGCCTCCCCCTGACAGGGTGGAGGTCTCCCTGACAGCAGCAAACCGATGCTCTCCTGGACAGCCCTCCCTAAAACTAATGCCTGAGATCACCTACCCACAGTTCTCTCTTCTCCACGGGCAGCCCCAGTCCTGCAGCCCAGTCCTACAGTCTATTACATAGGGATCCTCAGATGTGGGGCTTGCAGAACACTCGCATACCTGGTTGTTGTAGTGTTTATCAGCTTTTATCATAAATGGAATAGCTAGAACTCAATGCAAAGTTCTCGTATAAACTATAAACCATCATTCCACAAAACAGCTCAGTTTTGAAAACTGAAAAATAAGGGGACTTCACATAAAAAATCTAGATTTTCAGCTTCCACTAAAAAAGCATGATGTGCCATAGGAACCCAAAGCTGCAGAGAGACTATTCTCCTCTCCTCCCAGACCCACCCTGGCTGCACACAGTCCCATATCCAGATGTATGTGCTTATTAGAACACAGAAGGGCTCACTTCATGGTGGGGAGGCTCCTTGGGGGCATTGGAGTTTCTGACCATCAGGTGCAGAATGCTGGAGGACAGCAGGGTTTGAGCCAATGCTTTGGGCACCCCTGCACTAATTTCAGCCCAAGATTCATTCACTGCTGGTCCTGCAAACACACAGTCAACTATAATTCTGCATCTTCTCCGCATCTGTCCCCTGACTCTGCACACCTGCATTATGCTACCTAAGTAAAGCAGACTCCCCAGCACTACCACTCTCCTTCCCAATCTATACTGACATATACAGGAAGTCTGGCAACTTCCTTTTCAGCTGCAACCTCAACCTGGGAAGTCAACCTGCTTTCCCCAGTCTCTAGGAAACCCTGAAGCAATTCTCACCTCATGAGGACATCTGTGCCCTGAAATTTCTCTCAAGGTAAGTGAGCAATCATGGTGACACAACAAAATTGGACAACTACTGTTGGCTCAGCCACCACTTACAAAACCTTCTAATTTCACCAGCCAAATCTGAAGAGTTGCCTAACCCTTTCTGTACACAGGAAATCAGGATCTCCAGTCATGGACTGAATAAATTGAATAATATATCTTTCAAGGCTTCCCTTATTCTGTTTAACCTTATTCAGTCACAACTAAAGTCTGACTGACAGGGGCTTCCCTGATGGCACAGGCGTTAAAGTCTCAGCACTATCAAGCTATCAGCAGCCACTGTGGCGTGAGTTTGCTATTCAGCCAGAGAGCTGACCCACATGACACAGCAGACCTCCTTGGCTCCTCCGCTGCTCCCCTCAGTAGTATATTTCAGCAAATCTGCCTGGTGTACTCCCCACTCTCTCTCTGGTGCATCCTCACACTCCCCATACCTCTGGCTTACAGACTAGTTCTTATATGTATAAATATATAAAAATAAATCTTTAAAAAAATAAATAAAATTTGACTAACAAATTCCATGTCATCAGAAACGACCTGTTGATGTTTATGGAAAACTGTGAATCCCAAGTCCTAGGTACAAGGTGACCCCTAGAACCTGAGGTAGTCAAACAGCAATAAGTACAGTCTCTTTAAGTGACAGTAATTGGAATTTATTGGTTTTTCACATTCCTTTAGACTAAGCCTCCTTCATTTTAACATAGAAAATAAAAAAGATACAAATTGAAAGAATCATTTGAGAACACACACCCAAAATATGAATCAAGAAGAAACCTCCAAAATCCTGATTCCTCATGAATTTATAAAAGTCCTATCTGTCTTTCCACACTACCTCCCTTCTCTTCACTTTTAAAAAGGAAAATGGGCTAAGTAGAGAAATTTAATTTGCCTAATATTCTTTAGAAGTTTGTTGTAAACAGCTTTTAAATTTTCAACATATTCACTCTTCACTCCTAAAAGTTATAGATGGACATTAAACAGCTGTTCCCTCATTTCAAACAGAATTATATTCTAAAAGAGAATAAAACGTTTCAGTATTTCAATTATTCTGTCAATAAAGTTTCTCAATCATTTGGGGAAATTGATGCCAAATAGTAATTACAGGCTTGCACTAGTATATTCAAGTGCTTAGCTCATCTGTTCAGCTCTGAATAAAAGGATTAAAAGTCCAAATTTCCCATTATAGCTCAAATACAGAAATTCAAGAGCTTTGGCATAAAACCTTCTTACAAAGCATAATTTTTAAAATGTGCTTCTCAATCACTGTCCAGCTGCCAATTCTAACCTTCACTCATTTTAATTTCTCTTTTGACTCCATCACTCTATAACTTTATATAAAAAGCACTTCATTCAAATATACATCAATGACCCACCTTTCAAGCCAAGAGTGAGGAGACAACCCAGGGCATCATTAGGTGTCCCTTCCACTAAAAGTTAATTGAACATCTTTTTCAAAGCTCTCTTTATTCTGTTCAGCACAATTTAGATTATTTTATAGTTGTTACTGTTCTATTTCCTTCAGATTCCTTCACTTCACCCACAAAACACAATGGAAAGCCTGCCTTACGTGTAGCTCAACTTTTATGATAATCAAGACAACTAGATAAACTACTAGAAATGACTACAAGAGATGGAAAATGTTAGATAATGGCATGAGAAAATTAAGAAAAATAACTACAGGATTTTAATAATAAAAGTAGAAAAGGTGGGGGGTTCAGGGGCAGGACAAGAACTCACTTTGAAAGAGACCATTACAGATACATAGAAAAGGAATCAAACAAAAACAAATAAGATTAAGAGTGAAACACAGGAAAATAATACCAGTGTGCATGTCTAGGAATGTCAAGAAAATATTTTAAATATAGTGTAAAAGATAACTGAAAACCGCCAGAAGCAGAGGACATCAAATATACCTCCTTAAAGAAATCCCTACAGAGAAACTGTAAGACATTGGCATTAACTCTGCCCCCTGCCTTGGGGCAGGAGTCTTAGAGGAGCACAGTTGGGCCTGGGGCCCAGTCAACAAGTGCCCTCACGGGCCATAAGCCCTGCTTTTCAACACACTGCACTTCATGACAAACTCAGGGCCAGCTGGTCTTTCATTTCTTGTATAAAAATACAGGTAATGGGCCCTCCCTGCAGGTTAAAGCACAGCACTAAGATGCTAAAGCCACTTCAGCAGAAGTTCGAACCCCACCCACCCCAGAGGTGATCCACACGGCCTGGCAGACCTCTCCTGACCGCCTGCTGCTCCCCTCAGCAGTGTACTTCGTAGATCTGCCTGTTCTGCTCCCCACTCTGTCTCTGGTGAATCCTCTCGCCGGCTGCCCCTACACCTCTGATCTGTACAACAGTTCTGTATGCATAAGTAAATAAATCTTAAAAAAAAAAAAATACAGGTAGAAAAGCTGTGTTTTCATGGTTTCTGTAGCAAAGCACTCCCAGTCGTCGCCTGTCTGTTCTGAAAGGCTCCTCAGTCATCGGCAGATATCCACAGTCAATTGGATGACCCACCAATTTGTTCCATTGCACCCAAAGCTAGCACTGAAAGTCCACATCCTTGGGAACTGTGTGTACAAGACAAACCAGGGTGGAAGGTCACCCTGCATTCAGGATTTTATATGGGCGGATTTTATATAGGAGCCTACTCCTGACCTTTCCACTGGCAAGGAGTCAGATATTACCAATCACCATTCTACAGACTAACCTCTGACAGATACATCTCCTTTCACCTTGTTCTTCTTATTACCAACAATGAATGAATAAATTCTGTCAGTCCAGTATGTCCAGTATGTACTACACCGGTTGGCATATCAATAAATATTCAATATGTCTGTCAACATATAAGTCAGTTAGTTTCACAACTTTGAGCCTGGTTTTTATGGGAACTCTTGGTTCTCAAACAGAAAAAAAAATTTAAAAGTATGAGATTCAGGGCACAAATTTTTAATTCAGGGCACAAAGAAAAGTTTCAGTTTTTTAGATTTAAATAGATGTTTAACTTACGCTTTGCTTTTTAGGTAACAAAACATAGCACACTGGAATTCTGAAAGGTTGAGAGAAGTGGCAAATCCCAAAATCTGCTTTCTTTTATTAGATATCAACGAGCTGCCCGTGCCTCTCAGTCCCTATTAGGAAATATCTGCTAGGCTGAATTCCCGCCAAAAGTGCCTAACAAAGCCACTCTGTGCTCTGCTCCTTTCCCGAAAACCAAGGTGAAAACTGCTCAGGCAGAGAGAGGTGGGACAGGTGCATAAAAGCAGGCAGAGGCCAGTTCGCTGGACCGGCAGGCGCAACTCGAACATCTTTCCGGACCTCCCTTCAGGAAAGTAGCAGCGGGAGACCGGGTAGACCCAAAGCCAAGGCCCGGAGGCTGTCCCCCGCAGGTCAGGTGAGCCAGCAGCAGGGCAGTGCGAGCTGAGAGGGCGCGAAGGCTCTGAACAGGGCGGGAGTAAGGAGGGGTAGGGGTGGGCAGGCGCGGCGCGGCGCGAGGTGCTCTGGGACCCCGAGACCCGGGCACCAAAGCTGCCACTGGACGCGGGGTGCAACCCACAGCTGGAGGGTCTGGCAGGTGCAGTGCCAGGGGCCAGTCGTTTTTGTAAATCTGGCGGTGGAGAATGAATGAGACGGCGCCGGCAGCGCGCTCGGCATTGCCTGCATTGTAGACACCCAGTCACTTGTTACAGCCGCGGCTGGGCATGGAGGTCGACACCTCCGCTGCGGCCCCGGTCCGCGGGCCCGGCCTACCTGCCGTCCTTCGCCTCCAGGGCCGGCCCATCGTCCGTGACCACCTGCGGCCTCGGGGGCCGGCGGTGCCGCAGCCCGTCCGCCTCGCTCATGCTCGGAGTGCCCCGGCCGCCCCCGGCCCACCGCTCCTAAAGAACAGCACCGCCCCCGGCCCCGCCTCCTTCCCGGCGCGAGCGGAAGTGACGCCAGGTCCCGCCCCCGGGCTCGGGTCGTCGCGCCCACATATTCGTGTAGGGTTTAATGCAGCCATTGCGCCGGGCGCTTCCCCGGACTGGACCGGGCGGGTTTGGGGCCTGCAAAGGCCTAGTTCCGGGCTCGCCCTGCCGGCCCCTCCACCTACCTTCAAGAGTCAAAGTGCTTGACCAAGGCGCGGCCCTTGATGTCTCTCCGGAGGGTAACGCGGCCCAAGAAGTGACCCCGGTTCCTAGAGGCAGGGTAAAAACGAGTTCATGTTCTTGGCGACTCGGAGGGCAATAGCCCTCTCCTGAAAATTGTATGACCTTCGCGATCGGATCCGCTTAGAGGGGAAATTCGGTCTAAAAAATGCCCCTTTGGAAAGGCCACCTGTTGAGTATTAAATGTTTTGGTGACACTTTCAACAGTTGTGTGATGAAGCTTACTCTGAGGGGGAAAGGGGGATTATGAATAGGAGCTATCGTTAATTTGTCCACTGAGGACGAATCAGGCTGTAATTGTGAAGAAAAGTTTTATTTGACAGTAAGAATCATGATTTCCATCCACAATCAAGGGCCTGTTTCACCTGTGTATTCCCCAGGATGAGGGGTTAGGGGAGTTCTCTGAAAGATGGAACGCAGTCTTGGGGTTAACTTTTAGGTCATTTTTTGAACTTTCAAATTTGTTGATGGGAGTTTTCATACAGAAAGCTAAGTGTGGATTCTTTTGTAACACTGGGCAAATGGCATTCACTTATCTTTGCAGTCATCAATAAGAGATTAGTGAGTGGATTTTCTGTAGGGACTGATTAGGAGATGAGTCAGGCTGTTTACTTTTCACATAAAAATCCAATTAGAAGGAAGATGAGGCCTGTTTGATCCAAAAGTGGCCCCACAGTTATAATAAAGTCATAAGAAAGTGAAGCTGGTGTGTGCTGTTAACATGATTAGAGCTGGCTGCTGACACTGTAATACTTTTCACCCTGATAACCCTTAGCCTCTTGTCCCATGAAGCCGTAAAAAGAAATTCGTAGATAAACCCTCAAAATAAGGGGAGAGAAGCAAACTTTGTTCAAGATTTATAAATAAAGATTTATTTAGAGGAAAAGAACAAAAGCAGAGACTCCAAGGCAGCAATGCCAACTAGGGGCAAAAGTTGCCAGATGGACCTGTATCTAGGGGAGATTTAAACCTTTTTCTCTATTTGAAAATGGTGTCACCCCACTTTGCGATTGGCTCTCCCTCCTAGTGGCTATCGTCCTCTAGGCAGATGTGCTCATTTCCCCAGCTCTTAAAGTTTCTCCTTTTACTTCTCCTATCCAAGGTCTCTTAAACTTCACTGTCCCCATTAACCTTAAAGTTCAGCTTTAAAAGTTACTGTCCCCGGGCCTTCCCTAGTGGTGCAGTGGGTTAAAGCACAGCACTATGAAGCTATCTGCAATTTGATTCCCAGCCCCTTAAGGAGGTGACCCACATGGTGTGGCAGACCTCTCCTGACCTGCCCGCTGCTCCCCTCAACAGTGTTCTTCATTGATCTGCCTGTTCTGCTCCCCAGCTCTCTGGTGAATTCTCACACACACACCCCCCCACACCTCTGGCCTATACCCCAGCTCTTGTGTGCATAAATAAATAAATCTTTTTTAAAAAAGAAAGTTAACTGCCCCCACTAGCCCTCCTGAGTTTCTGACCTCGTCTCTGAATTGTGGTTAGCACCTCATAGAATTTACTGTCCTTAGCTCAGAAACCTCTTGAACTCTTCAAGTCTCTGTACTGCCCCTAAAGCTGCCTAATTAGCCCTAATTTGCCCATTAACATCACCCAAGGAACCCTCTTATGCTGTTGGTGGGAATGTAGACAGATCTACATGCTGTTTGTAGGTTCTTCAAAACAGCATTAAAATGGATCTGCCCAAAGGACACAGAAATACTTAATTCAAAAGGAAACCTGCACTCCCACATTTGTTATAGCACTATTTATAATAGCTAAACTATAGAAACAACTTAAAGGTCCCCCAAAAGATAAGTGGACAAAGATGTGGTATATACAGATGTGGTATGCATACACAAAGGCATACTACCCAGCAATCAAAAAAGATAAACAAGCCATTTGCAGCAACATGGGTGGATCTGGAAGAGATTTTGCTAAACAAATGAGTACTGGATGATTTCACTTACATGTGCCATCTAGAGAAACCAAACAAAGGGTGAGGCAAAGACAAACCTTGCAAGGTGACCACGGATCTGAGGCATCCAGAAGGAGAGAGGGAGGGCTGAAAACAGGAGGAGGAAGAGCACAATAAATTGTGACTATGGCTACCAGAAGGGGAATGGATCTGGTGGGAGCAAAGGGGAAAGGGAAGTCCAAAGGAGGGTCGGTGGATGTGATGAAATAGCACACATTTGTACAGGTATAAACCTATACCCCTAAGACATATATTGAGTTGTAAATCAAAAGAGGGAGACTCAGTCATCAGTTCCTTCTCTAGCAGTACAGTAATGAACAAGGTATATTTCTCATATGATGGTGAGCAAACCAGTGACATAATCCCTCACTTATGGAAGTTTCAGAATTTTATCTGATAAAATTTCTTTAAATGTAATAGCTGCACTAAAAGAAAATAAAATCTTGTAAAAGCACTTGACAGATGAAGCTGAAGGAGTTGGGGGATAAACATAAAGGAATTTTTAGGCAAGCTCTTTACATTAACCAAGTCCTGTTACTTTGCATGATCTCTAGAAAAGGCATGTTTCAAAATGAAGTATGTTGCCTTGGAAGGCTTTCCTGAAGCCTTCTTGTTACCTTTCTTGGTGCTAGGTGGCGCTAGACTCCTACATGACTGAAGAACTAGCAAGTAAAGTGTTCTTACATAAATACAATTTGGTATGGCTTCCCATGTGGTAAATCAGGCCTCAGCGAAATTTCACTTCCTTCCCTACAACCAGTATAGCTGATATGTTTCCTTTCTGCCTGGATGGATTATCCTTTCTTCTGAGTCATGTGTTTCAGACACTTGGATTACTTGTTTCTGATTCTATCCCTCCCCATTTAGTTCACATTATTCCTATTTTGTGTGAAGTTTTTCTTCACCTCCATTTGACCAAAACTATTAAATTATCCAGGACCCACTTCAGATATCATTGCTGAGAAATCCCTCCCCTAATTTCTCAAGTACAAAATCTTTGTCTCTAAGGCACTTACACATACCCCAGTTATAAGACTAACTCATTGCATTGAAGATATTTGTAGTCCATGCCCATCAACCAAAACATGCAAAACATATCTGTAAAATAATTATTATAATGATAAAAATTAGGTTTATTAAACTTGCTGCAGCAAAGGAATATACCAGAGAACCTGTGAGACTGTTCAGGAGAAGAATGTCCTAAAGGGACTCTGCAGTCTTATGGGCTCCACCCCCTACTCCAGTGATTGGAAACTACAACTCCCAGCAGTACCAGGGAGAAAACTGAGGACCCAAAGGTGGAGCTAGCAGGAATTCTGGGACATTTGGGGGATAAATAGGGTGTGATTGCATGTCTCACTTTCTCACTCTGGAAATGGCTCTCCCGTGGGCGCGTGACTCAGTGTGTTCAGTCAGCCTAGCTTAACAATAAAATATTCCAGTTACTTTGTATCCTGCTCTCTTTCCCTGGGTTGTTTCCTATTCCTTTCCCCTTTTGTAAATAAACCCATTATTGACCCTTTTGTGTACCTGCAATATAACTGAATTGTGAGTGCGTGGATGAGGCCCCACAGACAGGGGGCCCAGTCAACTCTGGGCTACCCTGTAACAAGACTCCTCAAAACAGGAGTCACAGAAGGGTCCTCTTGTGGTGTGTGGGCCAGAATTAGTCATAAATGGCGGAGGTGGATCAGAATTTGTAAACTCTTGGGGAATCAGTCGTCTTATCTCTAAAGCATAAGCATCCAAGCAGTTAATGGGATAGCCACTCACAGTCTTGGACCAAGTGGTTTGAATAATCTAAATTAGTTAAGTGGTCTGAGCCTAGATCATGCGTGTTTATTTTCTATTTTTTTCTGTTTGGTTCACTTTGTTGTGATTTATTTCAGTCCTTTGTTCTCCTACCCCACCCTCCAACCTATCACCCAATTATGGGCAGGAAGATGGGGCCAGTATGATTGGTTAGAGCAAGTTTCTTAGCCTTAGCATTTTGGGTGAGATAAGTCTTGTTTGGGGGTTGGGGGAGAAGCTGTCCAGTACACTGAGATGTTTAGCAGAACCCCCAGCTGCCAGCCACTAGATGCCTGCAGCATCCCACCCAGTCATGGCAATCATTAATGTCTCTGGAGATTATTATTTTGTCCCCTAAGAAATAAAATAGCCCCTTATTGAGAACTAGCAAGTTATAATTGTCAGAATCCACCTAACCCCCATCCTAAGATGAGAGTTGAGGCCCACTTCCACTGAAACTGGCCCACAGTATGGACATGTATCCAGGTTCTATCTGCATTGAAGAGACAATGACGAGTGATAGGCAGACAGTAATTGCCTCACAATGAAAACTAGAAATATGACCTATTTTTAGTCTGAGCTTTTACCTAATCCCTTGTTTTTTGCATTTTTTCACAGGCGTCTCCTGAAAACCTCCCATATACTTAGCCACATGTTGCAACAAATCAGGTGAAGTAAACCAATGTGCAGACATGTTATAATCTGAGAGTAGATAAGCATAATAACCAATATAAAACAAGTCCACAGCAGAACTGTATAGTACCTTGGGACCTTGAGGAACAAGGTCCATCAGGTGAAGTGACCACAAAAGATTTCCTGGAAGAAATGATCTGTGAACCAGGATTTGGATGAAAAAGATTATGATGGGAAGGTTGAGAGAAAAGGGAAAGCCAGGAAACAGGCTAAGAGGGAAGTGTGGCATGCTCAGAGAGTGATCAACGGGGGTGATGATCAGGATTGCCTT